TTTCCCGATCGTGAAGACACTAGAGGCCCTGTTACTCCCTTACTTCACCTTACTACCACCTGACCCCAGCGAAGCATCAGCATGGTTTCCGTATAGTGCACAGCACAACAACAGCACTTAACGTCATAAACACCCAAATAACTCGTGGCCTAAACCGCAATCGCCCCTGTGAGAGAACAGTCCTACTAGCGTTGGGCTTGTCAAAGGCGTTTGACACCGTCTGACATTCCACGCTAATGGGAAACATTGCGGCCTCCTCTCTCCCACAGGGACTTAAACGGTGGTCGGCGAATTATATGAGTGGTCGACAGTCGCCAGTAATCTTCTGAGATCAAACCTCGAAAACTAGAAGAATAAAGCAAGGGGTTCCACTAGGTGGTGTTCTGTCCTTTCCCTTTACTGATCAACTTCTAAATCTCGAAGCTCCCTCAGCCACATGAGGAAGTTTCGCTGATCTCATACGCTCAGGATAAAGGGTGAACACACCAAAACTGCGACACTTAGAAATTACTACCAGAAACAAACTAGAAGGCTATTATTATTATTTTTTTTTGTATTATATAACTTGGAAGTTTAGATGTTATTAAAATGTTAAAATATTAGTTATTATTTGCTCCATATGCAAGTGATCGGTATTTTCATCGCACACGCGCCATCATGTTCTGCACGACTGCATCATCGACATTACGCGATGCGCATAACTACTTTGTTTTGCACTCTTCAATAATTTTCACTCTTTCACCTGTTTTCTTCAAGATTCCTTTGACAATTGACCAATATTCCCCAATAGGACGTGGCTCTGGGCTATTGGGTGGATTGCAGTCGTGAGGTACAAAATTGATGTTATTTGCATTATACCACGGCAATGTGTCCTTGGCATAGTGGCAGGTTGCCATGTCCGCCTAGAACGATGGCCTACTCCTTATCTGTTGATAAATGACAGAAGACGCCTTTTGAGGCACTCATCCCGATAAAATTGATCATTCATTATCCCGGATGGGAAAAAAGGGCTTCTCTTACGGCCGCAGCAACAAATAGCTTGCCAAACTATGTGGTTTTTGGAAATTTGGACTTCATTTTCAGCTTACAACTTTCAGGGGCATCTTGACGACTTGCAGCAGTATAAAAATCTTGACCTGCAATATATTTTGAATTATTATAAAAGTAGGTTTCGCAGTCCATAACAATGCAGTTGTATTTTTTAATTTAGAATTCATACAACTTCCGAATGCGGGATTTCGCTGTAACATTCTACTTTGCGCCTCGGTCTGGCGCTGTTTGAGCTGTAGAACATCTCAATGAAGCTTTCCGCTTTACCTTTTGTACGAAAAACTGCGATCTCCGTACGGATTTTGCAACATAACGCGACAAAATCTTCGGATCTCGCGAAAACGCACTGAGGACCTTCCGAGCACTGTTTTTATCACTTTGACCATGCTAACCCCCGCTCCCTGGTTTTCTCGTAACTGTCAGGCCTTATTTGTACCGATTAAAACCCTGCAAACTGCCGAATGTGCACTCTTTACTTTTTTAGCAATTTTACGTGTACTTAAGGCCGGATCATTTATAAACTCGTGCAAAATGGTTTGTCTCGTTTCTAGCTCGGTTGTCATTTTTAACTCAACTAGGAATCAAATTCAAATGAAATTTCTTCTACGTTCAACTAAGGTCATGGTCAACTTATGGTATTTGAATTTCAAAATATTTAATTCGTTTTGGGTAAGTTATAAGCTTCCCAAAGTGTCGCAGTTTTGGTGTGTTCACCCTTTAGAATTAGGCATTCACGTCGATGGCACACCAATACCGATAGTAAACAACCAGAAAATTTTAGTGGTTAGCTTTGATAGCCTACTCTCCTTCTCCACGCACAAAATCGCAGTTGTTAACAAAGTATAGAGCCGCAACAAGGTCCTCAAGTCGCTCGCCGGCAGCTCCTGGGGCAAAGACAAAGAAACGTTGCTGGCAACATACAAGGAAATTGGCCGGCCGATTCTAAATTATGCAGCACCAGTTTGGTCGCTACGGGCTTGTCAGAACGCCGCACTCTGGACAGCGACAGCCCACAGCACAGCGAGGCCCAAATGCGCTCCTTAAGGGTGCACAACAAAATGCTCCAAAAGACCACTGCTAGAGGAGGAGCCCCCGCCCATGCACATCAGGGGGCACCTATTCATATACAAGGATGCGGTCCATACATACATACATAGACCAACCACTGGACCGACGACGTATCGACGGATCAACGACATTCATAGGGAGTCGGTCACCATCTACCACCACTCCCGGCCTATTAATGACGTGATCGGAGCCCAATCACCACCTGTAGCAGAGACAGAGCTTCAACTGCCAAGAGAGACCCTCGTTACCCTGGCTCAGTTAAGGTCTGGATACTGTAGCCGCCTCAACAGCTACCTGCCCAGACGCGACCCCAATATCCCCAATGAGTGTGCGGCATTTGGGGACTCTCCGAACGACACCAACCATGTCTTCACATGCCAGCTCAATCCTACTCAACTAACACCACTCTCCCTTTGGTCCGACCCTATTTAAACAGCCCGTTTCCTGGGGCTACCGTTAATTGATCTTGACGACAATGCTTGAAGGACGAACCGAAATAGGCGGGGCTTAGTAGTGCCACTTCAACAACAACAACAACGCATATGGTTTATATTCTGGAGAGATACGAGTATTACGCTTGAAATAAATTCAATAATTCATGGTTTAAATACCCTAAATTAAAGACATGCCTTAAAAAAGACGAGAAGCTCGTGAGAAAGCGATGCCGGCGAAAAAAATGTATCTTCTTCTTCTTGATCGGCGCTGTAACCGCTTAAGCGATTTTTCCCAGAGCACAACAAAGCACTCCAGTCGTTTCTCTTTTGTGCTGATGCCCATTGGAAACAGGGTAGCCAACTCATTTTTGAGAATTCCCCGATTTCGAAAATGAAATTCCCCGATTTCCAGGAAATTTCGTAAAATTCCCCACATGGAGATCTCCTTATTTACAAAAAAAAAATGTTTGTTTATTTTGACATATTGTAGGTCTTTCTGTTTATTTACCTTTTAATGGAATTCAGCTATGTATGTATTCATAGACCAAACCAAATTTTATAAAGTTAGTTAACAAATAAAGAAAAAAAATTACATTTAATGTTTACAGTGGTCGAAAACATTTTAGACGCGCCAAATTTTGATAAGTTTTCACAATTATTATTATTATTTTTTTGTTATTTGATTATTTTTTTATATAAATATAGTTAATTCTTTAACAAAAACTGTATAAATCCAAATTTCAAACTTTGTGTAATGTAAAAAAAAAATCTACAAACTTTAGTACAAAACTCCACGTCACACGGAGCAGACGTGTAATCATTTGGCCCTGAAGACGGTTACCGCGGTGTAACCGAAATATATTGGAGAAAACTAAAAACCTGTGTTTTTAATTAAAATTCCATAAAAAATTTGACCTCGAGCCGGCAAAACCAACAAACTTTAGTAAACATTTCGAGCTTTTTAATTAGATTTTCTAGAAATTTTTGTTTTCAAATTTTTTTCCCGAAAGTGTTGCGGTTCTCTTCCACATAAAAAAGTGTGTTTATTCGTTATATGAACGCAAATGCGACCAATTAAACGGTAATTTGTATAATTTGCAGGATTGCATAATCAGTATTTTAGTTGCAGTTGCATTTCTTATGCGACTTTTTTACCTCATTATGAAATTAGTGCAGCAAAAAAAAAATTAATTAGTTAACACCCAATTCGTCACAAAAAGCAGTTCATCTTCCGATTCTGCACGTAAACTGAAAATTACCACAAAAAACGGTCCATTCCCCGATTCCCCAAGCAAACTCAATTTCCCCGCAAATCGGGGAATTCCCCACGAGTTGGCTTCCCTTGAAAATACCAAGTGTTTCTCCACCTGGCCTTTACATCCCAAAAGAGGCCTTCCTCTTCCTATGTTACCAGCATCGCGACCCGCGTTGAATACTTTCAGAGCTGGAGTGTTTCTGTCCATTCGTACGACATGACCAAGCCAACGTAGCCGCTGTATTTTAATTCTCCGCAATATGACAATATCCTTGTAAAGATCATACAGCTCATCATTCCATCGTTCAACATCAGATTAAATAAATCACAAGAAAGGGAGTAATCTTGTCTGAAACCTCGTTTGGTATCAAACGACTCGAGAGGTTCTTCATACCCTTCAGGCAAACGGTGACAATTTGCCACATAGTGTAAGTTGACAGGAGAAAAGAGTGCGACTACGGTTACCACTCTTGGTGATGCAGTGGGTATCAGTTCAGTTTTTGTTTACTTTCAGCATTCGTTAGCTCGTACGAAAAAAGCCGAATGGATAGGAGAATTACGGCGGCGAAATAATTAAAACGCCGACTTTATAATCACGCGGAGGGCATTAAAATACCAGAGAGGGAAAATAAACATTATTTTTTAAATTTTAACAAAAAAAATTAACAAGTTTTAATCGTCATAAAACAGTTATAACTATACTCACGTATTTGTGTTCGTAGTAATAAATTAAAAAAATAATAATAATTAATATTTGATTAAGAAGAATATTTCAGTTAAGAATAGTGATCATTCAGGAAAACTCAAAAGCTATAGCAGCGTGATTTCCGTTGTATCCTTTTCAGAGGTAGCGACACCCTAATAAGAAGAATAAGTTCCAAAATTTTCACGTCAAAATTTCAGTAAGTTGCGTCTGTATGGCCTTTTCAATTTCATAAATAATCATTGTTTTTAAGCGGAGAAATAAAACTCAATAATAATTATTATCTCTGAGCGAAAAAATAAAAATCATAAAATAATCATTATTTGTGATCGAAAAAATAAAAATCAAATAATAATCATTTCCGTTGAGCGAAAAATATAAAAATCATAAAATAATGATTAAATGCTGATTTAAATTATTTTACTCATAATAATTACCATCCCTGAATAATACACATTTTTCCGTACGTCTTTACTCTAGAAAACATGAGCCGGCGATCGAAAATTATAAGTTCGACGTAATAAAACTTCTTGCTCGGCACATAGATGTGAAACAGCTGATTTATTTACATGTGAAACGTTTATAGAAAAGAAAAATAAAAGCATTTTCGTGTGTGAAGTGATTCGCGTTTTTATTAAATTGTGGACATTAATAAATCAAATAAAATGCTGGGAAGTCGGCGAAACTTAAAAAGGTTGGTAAGCAATAAAAGAAAAGAATTTTTATCTAAACTTCAATATAAACCAACCAGCGAGGTAGTGAATGTCTCGGTGGCATCTGAACCACGCGATTATGAGTCTCATTTGCAATCAAATGCAAATATAGTTTCTGGAAATGATCCTACTAACAGTGTGCGTCCAATTTCTTTAAAAGAGCAGCTAAAAGATTGGGCTTTGAAACACAAGCCAAGTAGGGAGTGTTGCAATGATATACTTGCAATTCTTGCTAGACAAAATCTCGATGTCCCAAGAGATATTAGAAGCCTCATACCAAAAAAAAACAAGTTGGTTATTAAGAGTGTACCTCCTGGGTTTTATTCTCATTTTGGCATAGAAAAACAATTAATGTCTTTGGGTGATTATGTTTCTCAATTCGAAGAAATCGTTTTCGACATAAATGTTGACGGAATACCTTTGTTTAGAAGCTCAAGGGTTCAACTCTGGCCAAATTTGATAAGAATTTTAAACTTTCAAGTCAATAACATTTTGCCAGTAGGTATATACATTGGAAAACAAAAACCAAAAGATTTAGAAGTTTATTTGCTGGATTTTGTTCAAGAATATGATAATCTTTCGAAGACTGGTATTTGCGTTAGTAATAAAATAGTTAAGCTTAGATTGAGGGCGGTGATTTGCGATGCTCCGGCTACAGCTTTTATATGTGGCACAGTTGGACACACATCTTCCCACGGTTGTTCCAAGTGTACACAGGTAGCACGGAAAATCGATCAGGTTTTGACGTACACTACAAATTCAGACAAACTAATTACAGATGAAGATTTCACGGAGAGGCGACTGAAAAATCACTTCCAAAAAAAGTCTTAATATAAAAATGGTAAGCCAAATTGCTCTTGACACTATGCACCTTATTGATTTAGGGGTGGTAAGGAAATTTCTAATACGCTTGCTGAACAACAAAACCAGTTTGGAGTACAAAGCTCCTAAGGAAAATCTTAGTACCATTTCGACTAAATTAGTCTCCCTTATAAAGTATATTCCACTAGAATTTTCCCGTCGACCGCGAGGTTTTAAAGACATTGTTCATTGGAAAGCAACGGAATATCGCCAATTTTTGCTTTATACAAGGTTACTGGCATTAAAAGGAAGCATTCATGATGAAATCTACTATGAATTCCTCTTACTCCACTGCTCATGCAGACTTCTATCGTGTCCAAGATCCTACGAAAAAAATACATCGCTTTGTCAAAATATGCTAGACCTATTTGTGGAAAACTTTCCGATAGTTTTCAAAGAAAATAATGTGATCTATAATGTACACAGTCTTTTACCTCTTACCGAGTGTGTAAAGCAATTTGGTGTTTTGCAAAATTTTTCGGCCTATGGCTTCGAAAATTATCTTCAGATTTTAAAAGGCTACGTAAAAAAACCACAATGCGTACTCAAGCAAATTTACAATAACGTTAAACACGAAAACCGTCGCATTTCATCATAACAGGAAGGATTTGTAGAAGAGAAAAATCGTGTTAAAAAGTTTGTGACCTCAAAATATATTTTTAGTACCAAATTCCCTGATAACTATTGCTTTATCTTACCGGATATTCCCCTCACAATCAAAATATTTGATAAAAAGAACAATCTTGTAACCGGAAAGCGATTTCTAAATCAAACGCATTTTTTTAGTCAGCCTATAGATTCGTTAAAGCTTTTAGGAATATGTTTAGTCGATGAAAATATTAATGACTTAGAGGAGAGTTTTCCCACATCCAAAATTAAATGCAAATGTATAGGCTTACCATACCAGAACAAAATTTTGTTAGTTCCAATCCTACATGGCTGCTTTTAAACAAACATAACTAAATTAAACAATCGAAAACCAAATTGCATGTACACATATATAAGTTATATAAAACTCTAACTTACCTTTTTTATCAACATTTTTCAAGGGAAATCCCAAAAATGCAAAATCGAGCATTAAAGCACCTTAACTCAAAGGGCGAACAGGTTCTACTCGAAGGCAAATATTTACTACATTTAAGATTTCCAGGTTTTACGTATTAACTTCATTTTATTACAGGTGAAAAACGATGTGAAAATTGTAAGAGGTTAGAGGACAAAATTGATCAAAAATTCCAAGAACTAGAAGGTAAATGCATATTCAACGCAAAATATGCTAATTGACATGTTATAGTTGTGTATTAAGCTGCCCCAAGATCGATGAATCTTCATCGATCAACATAAAATTTTTCATGCGTGCTTTTTTTATACACAACGGTCATTTACTTCAATAGTAGCTGTGTTTTATTTGTCCAGAATTTAAGCTATTAGCTTATTTTGTATGGAGGACGTACCCAACACAATTACAGCGTGGCGACGAATAACTGTTACCCAGGTTTTTTTGAGAAATAAAAGGGTCCTTCATTACTTTTGCGAAAAAAGTATTTTATTGTTAATTTTCCACAGATTTTGCTTTAGTTGTTTTAATTAGTTTTTAAATTTTAACCCTTATTTCCATTTGCCAGCAGTGTAAACTTTGAGAGAAAAGTTCACTTGGCACGCAAGTCTTTTTCAGGTGTATTTTTTCTTAGGCATTGTGTAAAAAAAGACAAAAAAGGAGAAAAACTGTATAGGGTTGTTCGAATGAATGGCCGTCCTAGTCACCAGTTCCGAGTCTATTAGATTTTTGAGTATGAGGCCTTATGCTAGACAGAAGGGGGAGTATAAGGGACTCAAAATGGAGAAAATTAGCCTATGGTTACAGAAGATATGGAATAAATTAATTGACGAAGGCCTGCGTGCCAAATTAACTTTTCTTTCAAAGTTTACACTGCTGCCAAATGTAAATAGGGATTAAAATTTAAAAACTAATTAATACAACTAAAGTAAAATCTGTGGAAAATTAACAATAAAATACCTTTTTCGCAAAATCTATAAAGGACCCTTTTATTTCTAAAAAAAAACCCTGGGTAACAGTTATTCGTCGCCACGCTGTATATTGGCTTATGAAAAGCTATCTTGGCTTGTATATTGAACAAGAGGCATTGCCATTCAGCATCAGAAATTTTCTCCTTCAGCCAATCAGAAAGAGGCGAAAGCTTACTTTGACACTATTTGCAGTCAAACAACTGTCAAAATTAGGCTAACATTGGAAATAAGCTAATTTCGTTTTATTTGACCAAGATTTAGCTATTTGCTTGTGATGGTTGAATAAAACATGCCTAGTGTTAAAATTCAGAATAATAAAATATCGAGTTAAGTAGGCAGAAAAGATCGCTACCTCTTCTTCTGTGTTGTGTAAAAAATGTCATAGCTCTACCGATTACCAGTTACTCACTAGAAAAAAATATGTATTCATTTTTACTATGGAAGTATATGTAAATTGAAAGCTTTACAGCCGTTTTTCTCGAGTTTTTGGTTTTTTGAGTTATGACAGTATTGAAGTAAATGATCGATATATTTAACGAGCTTCTGACCCTATTATGATATTCCCGGTGAAATTTTTGATATTTCAAAGCAGCTTAATATTCACATTGCCCAAAGTTCAAAGAAATATTTATTGTATCTTTATTAAAACTATTTCCTATCATTTTTTCCAGATAGAACGAATCATCAAAATACAATTATAATGGAAGCTTTGGCAGAACAAAATGTCCTAATTAATAGGCTTATTTTCCAAGATGCAGAAAACTTGAACGTGACATCCACTTTCCCAATAAAAAGCGATAATGAACTTAAAGAGCTAGACCAAAAAATTGATGATTCTAACATTAAAAACTATGTAAGTATTTGTAAAATTTTACAATAGTAATTTTTTAATTTATTTATATACTTTTGTTTTTATTTTTATTTTAATAGGTAAATATAGTTAAGAAAATTATTTGTAATAATTTGCAGGAAAACATTGACCTACTATTGGAGCCTGAATTTCTTTATGAATATAATATTGACGGCAGTCATGGAAAGAAACGATTGAAAGAGTATAAAATGTTTGAAGTTATGAAAGGTTTGCTAGAGTAAATTGTGGAAAGTAAATTTACTAATTTTTATTTTTTCTCAGATTGCGTTATTTCGATATATGGCGCAGAAGGTGCTGAAGAAAAAATACGAAAAGCGATTCATTTATCAAAGAAGCGGCAGTTAAAAAAGTTGCTTACGAATAAAAGAAATGCCACCAGCGATGTTAATAAATAATGAGTATAAACTCCTTTAAAGCCAATTGACGAAATTCGATGAATTCTTTTTTTAAAATGAAGTTTTGTATTATTTTTCACATATTTTTCTTTACATTAATGATTCAATGATTTTTTAAACAGGATACAAGAAAACTGAGTAAGTGTATGGTGTCTTTTAATATTAGCATTGTTTTTCAAACTAAATTTTATTTTTTTGTTAATTTTGCATTAAACTGGGCTAAGTTTTAACAGACACCGTATAAATCCGATTTTCGAACTTTGTACGAAATGTATGAGAATTTTGTAGTTTCACCTAAACTTCAAACTATTTAATAAGAATTTAATAAAAATCGAGTATGTAGTTTTATACCCCATTCAAATTTAGTATAATAATGTGCAAACTTTAAATGTCTTAAAGTACATACATATGTACATAAAGTATTCTGAGGTTTCTCTTTATATGGAAGAAAATGCGTGACACCGACAGCATAAAAATTATCAAAAATCAACACGAACTTTAAGACATTTACAGTTTGCACAATATTATACTAAAATTGTACGGGCTATAAAAATGCACACTCGATTTTTTTTAATTCTTATTAAAAAGTTTGTGGTTTAGGTGAAACTCCAAATTTCTCATACATTTCGTATAAAGTTCAAAAATTGGATTTATAGTGTTTGTTAAACCTTAAGCCATATTTTTATACAGTATGGATTAACAAAAAAATATTTAATATGAAAAGCATTGCAAATAGTAAAACTAATCATCGTATATCAGTTTTGTGACTAAGGGTATATTAATATGTTACATTCGTTATTAAATTGATTTTTTTTGCTTAAAATATGTAACAAAATAGTATTAGTCGACATTTGACCACTTTCGAATATTATTCTTTTGTGTGTTTAATGCTCGTTAAATTTTTATAAGTGAATAGCACATTAAATAACAGGACCCATATACATATGTACATAAATCGAAATGTAAAAAATGCATGTATATTTCGAAAATAAGCTGAATTTCTTTTTTCTATGAATAAATAACGTAAAAAAAAATTTTAAGAAATCATCAGTTCTAAGAAGGGCGTGATAGGTTCTTTTAAACAAGTCACGAAACGGGTAAAGTGGGTTTGCCAGGGGACAGGTTTTCTCAGGTCGTCACAGTTCTGCCACCGGAGTCTCTATGCGGTGGCAATCGGTCACTGCCAATGATAACTCCGTGTTAAGGTTGCCGGTCGTTTTCATATAATTGAACCGGAATTGTGATCGGTATCTTCTCTTTCAGACAGGTATGTGATATATCCAGTGCCGGTGCTTTTGCCTGCAGGGTAATTCTGGCGTACAAACATCGCAGCATAAAGTGGACAAATAGATATGTGTCGATCCTATCCTCGCGAGTCTTTTCCATTGTGAGACGTATTTTGAATCCTGGTCTATGGTGGATTTGCCAGGTCTAAAGCCACACTCATAAAGCGCAATCTTGTAACTTATGCTTAGAAGGCTTATCCCGCGGAGATTTGCGCGTATGGCGGGGTCGCCTTTCTTGCTGATTGGGAAGCCCGCACTTAAATTCCAGTCGCGGGGCATGCGTTTATCTGACCATATTCTGCATAAGAGTTAATGCATGCACCTTATCAACTCCTCGGAGTCGTACTTGAATAGTTCCCTTGGCAGGCTGTTGTTTTTCAGCAGCGTAATTGCTATTCATATCTCGCCATAGTCCATCATCATCGACACTGGGGTATCGGGTTCGTCTTCTCCACAACTTTCAGTGCTGCTGCCATTCAGTAGGAAGGGGAAGTGTTGCCTCTATAACACTGTAGTGAAAACTCAAGTTTTGACATGACACAAAAAACGCCGAGACACGTAAATTTAATTTTTGGTCGAAGATTATGGATCTGTACACCATTTTTCCAGATGAGGCCATTTTTCCAAGATATTTTAATTTTTTAACAAAAAAATTAAAATAAAATTGTAAGGAAAAAATAAGAATTAATATTATTAATATTTTTATTGAGCTTTGTACCACGATTGTTTATTAGGAAAAATTGAAAAAGCAACAAAGTCTAAGCGGTAGAAGTTATAGCACTATTTCGGAGATCACCACATCTCCTCATCAGACTTCTTTTTCTAGACTTCAGCAGGGATCGAACCTGCGAATTCGATGTTCAAAGTCAGAAGCGTTAACCACTGAGCTATGTACATCCCGTAAACTCTTGTTGCTAATTCATTTTCCTTATTCAACCAACTACTATCAAGTGCAGCTGATTTGCCGCTATTTAAACTCGACAGCGTGGTTGTTGTTGTNCAGCTATTTCGTCTAGAAAGTCTAGAAAAAAAAAGAAGTATGCTGAGGAGATGCGGTGATCTCCGAAATAGCTGCTATAACTTTTACCGCTTAGACTTTATTGCTTTTTAAATTTTTCCTGATAAACAATCGTGATACAAAGCTCAATAAAAATATTAAAAACTAGCAGACCCGGCAAACTTCGTCCCGCCTAAAATTAGATTTTTAATTTAAACATTTTGGTCCAACAGTTTCTCCAACAATCCACATTTACGATTTGTACTGGCACATTCGTCGGCTAAGACTATCGTTTGGTGGTCGTTTGCCGCCCTAAATAACCGAACGAACGTGTTATGTCCATGAGAAGTTCCCTGGTGGCAACAATGATCCGGGTCTATAGTGAATGTGCCCTAGAAACTTTATCTTGTTCAACAGAAATACAATATACATACATAAACTGATATGAAATACCTTAAAAGCCAGTTTCGCGAAAGCAATTTAAGTGAAAAATGATTTTTTTCTGTTAGGTTAAATTGCTTTCATGAAACTGGCTTTTAAAGTATTTCGACAGGTGGTGATTTGAGATTTACCACTGCACAACTCAACCCTGGTTTCTTCGAATAAAGCTTTAACGCATAATAATATTGGCAAATCACATCCATTGGGCCAATCGTAACACACGAGAGTTCGATATACTCAATGGTGCAACAGGTCGAATTAGTCTGACATTTACGGCACCTTTTCTCACTTGTCAATTTTTAGTAATAACTCGACCTCAGTACAACCGGGCAGCTCTTTTTTGCAATTGGACTTCCATTACCGATTCCAATACATTTTTTGAATATTCGCCAAATCGGATCATAAAAAAGATTTTTAGTAATAACTCGACCTCAGTACAACCGGGCAGCTCTTTTTTGCAATTGGACTTCCATTACCGATTCCAATACATTTTTTGAATATTCGCCAAATCGGATCATAAAAAAGATTTTTAGTAATAACTCGACCTCAGTACAACCGGGCAGCTCTTTTTTGCAATTGGACTTCCATTACCGATTCCAATACATTTTTTGAATATTCGCCAAATCGGATCATAAAAAAGATTTTTAGTAATAACTCAACTCCAGCGCCAACTGGCGGATTAAGTTGTGAAACTAAACTATCCAGAGACCCACTCAAACACACACACAAAACTTTGGTAAAATCGCTGCAGCCATTTAGGATTTCACTCACATTATACCTACAGAAGAATTATATACACATTCAAAGATAAGTAAAAGTCAGTACGTTTGTACTTTACCACGCCCCCTTTTTAAAGAGCCCATTTTCCTCAATGAATATGGGATTAATTTCATATATCTCCATACGAAGTGTTACAGTACTGTACCATGAACTCTTCCAGAGATATGCAGTATGAAATTCGACTTGTATGGTAGGTGCCACGTCCCTTTTCCAATAACTCCAATTTTTCTCCATGAGTATGTGATTTATTTCATATACTTCCGTACTAAGTTCAAAACTTTGACCATGAACGCTTCCAGAAATATGCAGTATGAAATTCGACTTGTATGGTAGGTGCCACGTCCCTTTTCCAATAACTCCAATTTTTCTCCATGAGTATGTGATTTATTTCATATACTTCCGTACTAAGTTCAAAACTTTGACCATGAACGCTTCCAGAAATATGCAGTATGAAATAATCGGGTTGTATGGGAGGTACAACGCCCTCTTTTCCAATAGCTCCAATTGTTGTGAAAGAATATGCGATTGATTTTATATATCTCCACACCAAGTTCCAGTACTCTACCATGAACATTCCCAGAAATATGCAATATGAAAAATTCGGTTTGTTTTGGAAGTGCCACGCGCCCTTTTCAAATACCTCCAATTTGTATCCAAGAGTATGATATTTATTTCATATATCTCTATCTACGCTACCATAAATACTGCCAGAGATATGCAATATGAAAAATTCGGCTTGAAAGGGAGGTGCCACACACCCTTTTCCAAAAGTCCAATTTTTCTCCAAGATTATGCGATCGATTTCATATGCGCCAATACCAAGTTCCATTACTCTACCATGAACACTTCCAGAGATATGCAGTATGAGTATTCGGTTTGTATGGGGAGTGCCACGCCCCCTTTTCCGATAGCTCCAATTTTTTTCCAAGAGTATGCGATGGATTTCGTATATCTCTATACCAAGTTCCAGAACTCAACATCGAACATTTCCAGAGATATGGAGTATGAAAAATTCAGTTCGCATGGGAGGTTCCACGCCCCTTTTATATATCGAAATTGTTTTTAGCCGATAACCATCCTTTGAACGTCTACAGCAGGTGTCCGAAATTTCAAAAGAATCGGTTCAGCCGTTCTCGAGCTTTGCGATATACATAGATGGATAAGAGTTGCTGCTTTTAATATTGCGCTCACTTACGTACAAAAAAACATAGCAGCATGGTTTTTATGCGTAATTATATACATACATATGTATGTACATAAATATGCTATATATATAAATGTAAGTGCTAACAGACTCTACATACATAATTGCCTACATTATTAGTATGTTCCAATAGCAGTCCGGTTTACAGGATTTAGTCAGAACTTACAGGAAGTCGTTCCTATTGACATAAAACCTGTAAGTGGGAACACTTTTGAGAGAGTAACTGAGCAACTGTTCCTAGTCAGAAGTTAGGGGATTTAGTCCGCAGTTTTTTTCCTGTAAGTTCATGAAAAGTGTCAAACGATCAGCTGATTTGCATGTGCAAACAAAAATAGAAAGCGGTGTAAGCAAAGAACCTTATATTTGTAAAAATATGGAAGTAAACAACGAAATGTTTGAATATATATAGAATATAATAATTAGTTAGTGATATTTCAGCCAAATCAGTGTTGTACAAATAACATGTAACAAACCGACTGACGATTTTACAGGAAATAGTGCTTTTTGCGTTCCCGTGCACTTCTGCATCTGTTCTCCTTTTACTCTCACTTGAGAGAGTAAAATTGTAGTTTGACAGTTCCAAAGGTTTTAGTCCGAAGTTCAAAGGAACAGACTATATTTCTCCATAAACTGTACATATTCGTTTTTTGAGCATAAGAATCAACATTA